ACTGCACACTGTAGGTATATGTGTATGCGTGCTGTGTGTGTGGCCCCTTTGGTGAGCCGTGCGTATCCTCGGGGGACGCTCTTCAGCTCCTCTCATTGTAATTGTAAATGTGCGACTGTGTCCCTGTGATCTGCAGCCGCTGTGTGTGTGTGTGTGTGTGTGTGCGTGTGTGTGTGTCTCTGGGAACTTGTCCAGTGGACGTTTATGACACACACAACCTGTGAGAAACCTCTCAGTAGTTTGAGCCCCCTCCTCCCTCTGTCTCAGACCACCGTTTTACAGCCTCACACACATTGTTCGTGGGGGGGGGGGGGGGGGGGTCAGCGTAGGAAGATGAATGTCTCGTTCAGAGCATATTTTCTCGTGTCCATGTTGCCGTGTTGTAAAAACAGCAGGGCAGAGCAGGGCCGTCTTTTAAAGGGAAACAGATAGTTAGTCCTATTGGTCAAAGCTATTACCCAGGCAGCTGATTTATGAGGACAGTAAGTGGACAAAGGGACTGAAGTGTTGTCTTAACCCCTCTGAACTCTGCTGTCACTGCCGAGCTGAGAAAGGTTGTTAAAATACAGGACTTGACTATTTGTAATGCTAATTCCAAATGAGAAAAATAAATCAAAGACGGACGTGTATTATTCAACCGATATATATTTTTTGCAGAAGATATGTTTTTTTTATGAACTTGTAAAATGTTCCTGTTTGTGATAAAATGGTGGTTGTTTGTCGTTTTTTGTTTGAAGATTAAGTTTTCAAAGGCGTAACGAGATTTTCTGAGAATTCAAATATTTCTAGACCCCAGAATAGTGCTGGACAATAAATTGAGTTTAGCAGATTACAGACAATGTGATTGTCCTTCTGATCTCAGTTTACTTCCATCAAAACATATGATCAACACAGAATCCAGTGCACGAGTCCGGTACTTTTAAACAGTTATTCTGAAATGAATCTGGTGAAAATAGGTAAAAGGAAATGTCATGTACTGGAGTATTTGGAAAATATACAGTTTAAAAGAAATTTTCTTTTGCTGAGTAAAGTTTTTACAGATATGTAACTGTGTATGTCATCACTAAAAGTATCAAGGTATTGAGTAAGTGACTCGAATATGGCTGCACAGTATTTCTTTCTCTTTTTTCACTGTTGAACTTCTCAAAAACATTTTCTGAATACTTCAAATCACAGATATACAACTATACATTAGTAAATGAAGGTGAGATGGAGACTTCAGACTTATCTTCTTCAAGATCAACCAAAAACATTCCTGACTCACCGTGTTTGTCTTTTCCCAGGTGCTGGGATGGATACGTAGGAAGCCATTGCCAGTTTCGTGACCCGTGCACCTCCTCGCCATGCATGAACAGTGGCGCGTGTCATGCCGTCACCAGGGGGAACACGGTGGACTTCAGCTGCACCTGCAAACTGGGCTACATCGACCGTCACTGCCAGACACCCGTCAGCGATGTCTGCATCAGCTCGCCGTGTCGCAACGGAGGGACCTGCGAGCTCGAGACCCTCCAGACGTACAAGTGTCGCTGCCCACCTGGATGGTCAGGTAACTGGCTGATGTTCGAGGGGTCTCTACAATCGACATGGATCTATTTGACTTTTTATCACATTTACATCTCGGCACATCGTTTGAATCCTGCAGAGATTTAACCAAAATCCAAAAAGTTAACAACTTTGATAAACTTAAGATTTGTTTTGTGATTAACGACAATATTAACCTCGACAAAGAAGTACTTGAGTTGTGTAGAATTTAAAGCCTGAGATTTTAGCGTAACATAATTCCTCTGTGTCCTCAGGTAAACTGTGCACACAAGCCGACCCCTGCGCCTCGAACCCCTGTGCCAACAACGGCCAGTGCTCTGCCATCGAGTCCCACTACATCTGCACCTGCACGTCGTTCTTCTCCGGAAAGATCTGCAATCAGGACGTCAACGAGTGCGATGCAACCCCATCGCCCTGCAAGAACGGCGGCCTGTGCGTCAATGAGGTCGGTGGCTACAGATGCCAGTGTCCGCAGGAGTACATGGGCAAGCACTGCGAGAGCCGCTACCTGCCGTGCAGCCCGTCGCCCTGCCACAACGGAGGCACCTGCATCCAGAAGGGAGAGACCAGCTACGAATGCTCCTGCGTGCCAGGTAGAGATATCGTCTAAATTCATGCTGTGGGGAGCCGAATGAAAGGAGGAGTCTCTAATCCTGCACACACGACCTCTTAGATTTGTTTTTGAACAACCACGTGATCCTCTGGAGTTAACGTGAGGTCGTTCAGCTCTGAGTATTCTGACGTCTCTGGAGTTGAATTTAAATGTCAGTGTCTAGTAATTGCTGGTTTAAGAGATGATGTCATCGAAGGCTGGGCTGTTCCGGCTCGTGTTGCGTCCTGTGCTTCTGTGTGTGTACGCGTACGTTTGTGAACAAGGCAGAGCAGGAAGGCATCTGGGTTTATCATAAGGAAATGGACAGCATCCTTTTCACATAGTGGAGTGAAGCAAACTTCTCTGGAGCTTTAGCTCTGCTCATTTTGCTTTATGTAATGTGTCTTAGTTTCCATCCCATCTCACCAATAAACCCCACGATTAAACAATTGGCCGATGGTTTTATACGGTTGCAGTCATGGATGTAAACAATAATTTCATTTGAGGCCTATTAGCACATATAGTTAAGCTGGTCATCAAGAAGGCTTTCTTAATTGTTCCAGAATAGTTATAAATTGTTATTGACAGTAATCATTTTGCTTATTTACCTATAATGTAAATTTAAGACAAAGAAAGCTTGATTTGTGGATGCACATAAATGCAACCTTCTTTTCCATGTCACCCTATATCTACATCATGTTACTGGCCTTTTAAGAACATTACATGGTTTAAAATACATGGATAAAAACAAATACTGTCGGTGAAGCAATAATAATGGAGAATTATTGCATTAATTCAAAGCTACAAGTGCAGTTTATATATTTTATCTTTAAATTCACTTGAAATATGTGCAACACTTACATTTGCAATGTTGGTTAGCTTAATTAGCTGCTCTATCTTGAAGCCTTGAATCTTGAAGTAAACAAGCAATTATTGAGAAAAACACCAATAATCTCCGCATTAAGTCTCCTGGCAGCATGTTTTATATTTCCCAACAGGCCACTCGTGCAGTCCAGTGGTTTCCTCTTGTGTAGCTGTATAACACAGTGGATGTTATTACACGGCACGGTTGCCACAGACCTCAAGAGGGTACAGCTGCCTTCTGTCTGCTGGCAGGAACAAGACAGTTGACCACATTTAACTGTAGAGAAGTTTCACTCCCTTTGTTGCGATGGGACAATGTAGTTTTCAGGGCAGGAGAGACGAATAACTGAACATCTGCAGCTCCCGCTAGTAGAGGTTACTCAGGGAAAGTGAAGAAAATACGTTGCAATAAATTAAATGGAGTCTTTTATTTGTTTAATTCAGGTTTTACTGGGAAAAACTGCAACTACAACATCGACGACTGTCCCAATCACAGGTGCGACAATGGAGGGACGTGTGTGGACGGAGTCAACACCTACAACTGCCAGTGTAAACCAGAATTTACAGGTTTGTATAGAGGAGTTTCAGTACGACACTGGATTCTTACATATGGACATTTGTCAGGAAACAAGTGGCATCATGGGACATTAACCAACTGTAATCCTCTGACCCGCGGTTCCACCTCAGGTCAGCTCTGCGCAGACGACGTTGACGAGTGCCAACTCATGCCCAACGCCTGCCAAAATGGTGGCACGTGCCACAACATCCACGGCAGCTACCAGTGTGTGTGTGTAAACGGCTGGACCGGGGACGACTGCAGCGAGAACATCGACGACTGTGCCAGCGCCGCATGCTACAGCGGCTCCACCTGTCACGACCGCGTGGCGTCTTTCTACTGCGAATGCCCCCATGGCCGCACAGGTACGTCAGGGTTTATTTACCTCTGAGTGTCTTGCACAAGCTTGAATTTGCTCTCGTTCACTAGAGGATATTTTAATTATGCCGTGTGAAGGACGAGGAAGTCACAAATTGAAACAAGCTCAAATTAAAGGCTGTAAAGTCGACACCAGAGAAAGTGACATTCATAAATGCTGATCTTTGGTTTCTCCTGTGGTTTCAGAGTCTTAAACTAAACTAAACTCCTGTTGGTTGACATGAGTGTGTTTTCTGCAGTCTGCAGATGTATAATTTCTTCACTCACTCACACTAATTTGATGACATCCATTATTTAGTTTGACTTGACGTCTTTAAATCTTTGACATGAGTTTGCCTTAAGCACCAGCTGTCGGTCATTAAAACATTTCAGATCACTTTCCTTCTGTCACAGCAGCTTCTTTGTTTGCAGCCTTACAGCCCTGTGGTTGTAATGGTTAACCAGAGGACTAGTTAGAGTCGTCGGACGTCTGGATCTTAAGTTATCAGAGAAACAAGCTGAGCAAACAGCCTCTCCTGACGTCCTGTGTCCACAGAAAAGCTTTGCAGATGATGATGATGTATATACACTGCTGATAAACAGGAGGGCTTAAAGTAACATTGTCAGCTTACCTGAGCTGTCACACCTACCTTGTTTGGTCTGGACCAAAATAGCAGATGTGAAAGGAGCCTAGGACCCTGGTTTGACGGCATTGAACAAGAGACGTAGTTAATCCTCGCCCCTGATGATAGTGAATTAATGTTTATATAATCACATAACAGTGGCTACAACGTTAAAGAAACAAACAGTTCTCTAATTTTCTCTATTCAAATGAAAAGACAACTTTTTCTCTGCATGCTCTAAAATGCCCGAAGCTGTGTTGGACTCGCGTCAGATTTTCCGTGAGTGGAAAAAAAGAAATTTAAAAGTGACTGAGTCACTGATTCATGGGATTCGGGATAATTGCAGTTCATAAAACAGGGAATCATGGGCTGACAGTCATGGGTTCAGTGGAATAAAAATAAAATCTACCGTATGTACCAGGTCTGCTGTGCCAGCTGGACGACGCCTGCATCAGTAACCCGTGTCAGAAGGGCTCCAACTGTGACACCAACCCTGTCACTGGAAATCATTTCTGTACCTGCCCCTCGGGATACTACGGTGCTTCCTGTGACCAGGATGACGATGAGTGTGCACTGGGTGAGACTCACACTCCTTCACCTGCCACATGTCTGCCTGTTTCAACTGTACTGATGAGACACTAAACCACCCATATCATCTTATTTTCATAATCTCAAATTCTAATAGTTTTTGCGACGAGCTGTTACAGTGAAAGTTTGAATTTCTCTTGAACCAGGCTCCAACCCGTGTGAGCACGCAGGGAAGTGCATCAACACCAAGGGCTCGTTCGAGTGCAAGTGCCAGCACGGTTACACGGGGCCACGGTGCGAGCTGGACATCAACGAGTGCATGTCCAACCCGTGCATGAATGAGGCCACATGCCTGGACCAGATAGGAGACTTCCACTGCATCTGCATGCCAGGTGAGATACTCATGAGGTTTGGTTCGACCGGAAAAAGTTTAATATTCAGCTGTGGAACCAGGCAAATCTGTGATTTCTGGCCAAAGTATTATTAATTCAGATTTAGTTTCCATGTCACCAAATTGCAGAGGATCAGAAAAAACACGTCTTATAGATCAAAAGCAGTTTTCAAAGACTCCTTCTAGGTGAATCTGTTCATTTTCAGTCTTTGAGGCTTCAGCGAGGTTCTCTATACTTTCCCTGTAATTTACGTTTGGGTTATATACTCTGACCACATGGCACCACACATGACGCTGTAGACATGAACCTCGTCCCTTTTAGGTCATTTACAATTTAGTCAATATTTCATGAATCTCTAAGTTAAGTTAAATTGCTTGTTCTTGTTGTTCCCTCCAAGTTTTTAAGGATGTTGCTTCTTCTCTTTGTCATGTGTGATTGTAAACTGATGATCTTTTAGATTTTTAAGGAATTTGTTCATGTAGATAAGTTGATTAACTAAGAGAATAATTGGTAATTGCAGTAATATAATTTAAATCCAGTGCAGCGGTATGTTACAGTGTGAAAATGCCTCTTACTGTGTATCTCTGTCTCACCGATCCATCTCCCCCCTGGTCCTCCCTTGCTAATTGGCCAGGCTACGAGGGGGGCTTCTGCGAGATCGATTCAGACGAGTGCGCCAGCGGCCCCTGCCTGAACAACGGCAAGTGTATCGACAAGATCAACTCTTTCCACTGCCAGTGCCCCACAGGTGAGGCTGCCGTACGGCTGCAGAGGAGGGAGGAGGGGGAGAAGACTTTCTCTCTCTCTCTCTCTCTCTCTCTCACTCAAACACACACACACTTTACACAAACACACAAACACCTCTCTGGACGGGCACTAATCCCAGCCCTGAGGCAGGCTTACTCAGGCCCGGGTAGCCCAGAACCAACGCAGCAGTCGAGGTGGAGAGAAAAAAAGAAGCGATCTATAGGGAAAGACGTGAGGAAGTCTGAACTTTTTAAACAAGTTTCTCATCCCTGTTTCCAAACTCTGATGACTGAGCAGAAACTTGTGGTTTCAAACGAGACTAAAATTAGCAGGCAGAGCTGCTGCAAGGCTTCATTAAATAACGTTTTCTGTGTCGTGGTGGTGAGCGAGGTTGTCGTTTGGTTTATTTTGAGGGGAGGAAGTTGTTTTCGGCGTTACAGTATTTGGACAAGTTGGACTCGTGTTTTGTTCTGGGGTGAAGGAATGCAACTATTGAGAGCAAAAAGAAAAGGAAGAAAAGAAAGGAACGTTCTTCACATGTTTTTTTTTTTGTTGTTTTGAATTCTTTCAGTGGAATCATTGACGTGGAAGTACTTTTTTTTTTTTTCGTTCTTTCTTTTCTGGGAGGAAAATAGCAAAGCTCTGAGTCGGGTGGATCAAAGACGGCCTGGGTGGAAAGAGGCAGGATTCCTCCTGTTGAGAGAGAAAGAGAGGAAAGAGGAAAAATGGAAAGAAAGAAAGAAAGAAAGACATCCCAACGAGGAAGCTTTAGAATTAATAGAGAGAAGGGGGGTACAAGAGTGAACACAAGAGCTTAACGCCTACGAGAACCCTGTGTGACATTGTGAGAGGGTTATGTGAGGAAGCAGCACTAAGTGGTGGCGGTGAAAGTGTTTTTTTGGGTGGGGGGGGGTTGAGACTCACGGACCGTTATGCCGAAGCAGGAAGGGGGTGGCTAAAGGAAGGGGGAGGGTCTTTAACCGCTCTGCTTGAGATGTAAATTTGTCCCCGAGGCGAAAAGGGTCCCCTCTTTTCATTTCTGTACATGGAATAGCCATGGAAACCACAGAGAGCCATTGAAATGTCTGATTCCAACAGTCTGCGGATAAATCCCTCTTTGGCTGCTGAGGTGCACGATGCATGTGCGCGCCCCCTCTGTGCACGGTCACATTTCTGCAACAACTTTTGTATGTTCATGCGTATGTGTGCATCTGGGTAAGAAGTCCCACCCTAGAGCTTCTTTTGATTTCAGTTAGGGGGATTGCGTTTTGGTGCATTCCAACTTAACTGTGAAGAAACGTATTATTTGCATCACGTTGCTTGGTCCTGTCCCCTGATCCGGATCTGCACCAAAGTTTAATGGCTCCACCCCTCCGCAAAATGTTATAAAAATTGGTTGTGTAGTTTTGGCGTAATCCAAAACCATGCTGAAGGCAGTTATTTATTAAAGGTTGAGAATCCTTTCTGAGCCATTAATCGATTTGTCATGAGCAGGCAATCAAAAGATGTCCTCATTAAACATGATCTTTAAAGCATTATTAAATTATCTATAAATCTATAATAAAGCAGGTGGTCATGACATTTAAACACTTCAGCATTTTTTAATGAACTTTTTAAATTTTTCGGAGCCCTTGATATTTTCTTCAGTCCTCGCGTCAGACTGTTTCTTGCAAAGTCCACTGGGAAAAATCAGCTCGCCGCCAGCCACACAAATACTTCCTCGCTGGATTAGCCGCTGTCTGTCTTTTTTTTTTTTTAAGTGTAAACCACCTGCGTCTTCCTGCCGGAGGGCCAGTGGAACTTTATTGCTTCATCAGGCGACAACATCCTGCTCGTCTCTTGGACTGTACCATCGTTTGAAAATATCCGAGATGAGCTCCAAAAAAACCAGAGAGGAGAAAGCCTGCTCGTGGATTTTGAATGACGAGGAGTTTGAATAGTGGAGGGTCACAGGTCAAGCTGGCTCTTTGTAGAGACGGGCTGTGAGTGGAGGGGGTAGACGAGTGGGGCTGAAAGTAAGACGGGAGAATGCACATTGTGATGGAAAAGTTTTCGAGGACAAAGGCAACAGGCTCAGTTTGGCTCAGATGAGGCGTTGGGCGCACAGGCCCGCCTTTGTCTCTCACCCCTCGGTCAGGAGGCCTCGCAACTTTCATTCTTTCCTTATTTCTCCCCCCCTTTCTCCCGCTCTAAACGAGCCCCCCCCCCCCAACTTCTCTTTCTGGAGTCGCGCTGAAAAGAAGCGACGTGGAAAATAGAGAGTGTATAGTTTTTTGCTTTCGTTAATTAACATGCAGATTTCTGATTCGTCGAGAGCTCTTAAGCATGGGCTCTGGATTATGAGCGGGACTGGTTTGAAGTGCTGAGAACACAGTAGCCATGTCTGTACACACACACACACACACACACACACACACACACACATTGGCACAATAAAACACTCTTGTGGTTTTTCCAGGCTTCACCGGGATCCTCTGCCAAATCAACATCGATGAGTGTGCCAGCACTCCGTGCAAAAATGGCGCCAAATGCACAGACGGGGCCAACAAGTACACCTGCGAGTGCACTGAAGGTACACGAGTTCTAACAAAAGGTTTAAAGGTTTAACAAATCCTGGAGTTACAGAGTAAAAAACTTTTAGGAGTGGAAAAGTGTAAAGTTTTGGCACAGGAGGTCAAGATTCAAGCCTGTGAAATATACAGAATTTCAATTAGAACCTCCTCTTTTGTCAGGTTACTCGGGGAGACACTGTGAGACGGACATCGACGAGTGTTACTCTAACCCCTGCCACCACGGCACCTGCGTCGACGGCCTGGCCTCCTTCAGCTGCAACTGCAAACCTGGATACACGGGCCGGCTGTGTGAAACCAACATCAACGAGTGCCTGAGCCAGCCGTGCAGGAACGGAGGAACCTGCCAGGACCAGGAGAACGCCTACATATGCAGCTGCCACAAGGGAACCACAGGTAAACGCCACACAAACACACACACATGGAAAATAAAAGAAACTCAAGTGTGACTTCTCTCTAAAAATCTGAGGTAACCAAGAGCAATTTTCTCCCAGGAATCAACTGTGAAATGAACATAGACGACTGCAAGAGTAACCCCTGTGACTACGGGACCTGCATCGACAAGATCAATGGCTACGAGTGTGCATGTGAACCGGGCTACACCGGTAAGCAACTCCAACACGCACGATTACATCACAGGCTTTAAACATGACGGAGGATTTAGCTCAACACTTTCGGCAAAAGCTAATATCACAACAATAGAAATGAAGATTAAATTTAAAGAATTAGATGGGAGCATGTTCCTGCGACACTGTAATCCAGGTTAAACACGGCTCCTGTCTCAGATGACCGATGGACACAAAGAGCGTTTAAGGTGCAGGGATTGGAGGAGATCGGAGGTATGGACGGAGGAGTGCGGTCCTGATGGGGTGGGAGGGTGACAGATGGCGAGCGAGTGAGCACGCTCCTCTGAGGCTCGACCGGTGTCGCCTTCCCGCTCCACCCTGTCCCCGACCTGCTGCTGTTAGGACACGCAAGATGCACACAAAGCGCGGACACTCACACACACACTGTGGCGAACACAGTCACCGGAGATCTGAGCCGGAGAAAAGATTGCCTGAAAGATTCCTGAAAGTTGAGCTTTTAAAAGCTTGGAAGCCGGGCCCCTGCTTTAAAGCCAAATGGGCCGCCTTTATGTAATGCGTGGCACCGGGTTGAATGGCGTCAGTGCCTCAAGTGGCCGACAAAGAGGGGCTTAAAACCCCTCATGTTTCTGGAAATCGATACATTACCTGCCCTGGGATATAGACTTCATTGTGTGGCGACTTTGTCTGTTGTGTTGTGTATTTAAAAAAAGGTATCGCCATAATTTCAAAGCCACTTCACCGTCTTCACAGCAATAAAGTGAGAATGTCAAGCACCGTCCTCTCGTTTCCTTCAGGCACCATGTGTAGCATCAACATCGACGAGTGCGCCACCAACCCCTGCCACAACGGCGGCACCTGCAACGACGGCATCAACGGCTTCACCTGCAAGTGTCCAGAGGGTTACACTGACACCACCTGCTTCTCCCAGGTCAACGAGTGTCTCAGCAACCCCTGCATCCACGGTCACTGTGACGATAAGATCAACGGGTGAGGACGTCTATGAACTGGTGCACTGAACGGGTCGAGTGTTTAGGCCACTCTCTACCGAGAAATAATGAAGCTGCTGCCGGCAGCTGGTTTTCATAGTTGTCTTCGGATGTGGGACACTGGGTGAATCAGACACTTTATTTATTGGTGGCTGTCAGGACATGAAGAGTATATAAACAAATAAGATAAAGTGTGTTTCACAAACAAATGACCAACTTTACCTTTAAGGGCTTGTGCCAGAAATCTTACTTTGGAGGTAATTTAAAAGTTTGTAGCAGCATCAACTGGAGTGTGGACATTTCTGGTTTTTAAGGTCGATCTTCGACAAGCAAATATCCCTAATGAACAATTCTACTTTGACAGTCTCATATGTTAAAATCAGTTTGAACGTAAATCAATTTCCAACCTTCTCTCCCCGTCAGCTACAAATGTCTGTGTGATTCTGGCTGGAGCGGCAAAAACTGTGACATCAACAACAACGAGTGTGAATCCAACCCGTGCATGAATGGAGGCACCTGCAAGGACATGACCAGCGGATACGTGTGCACCTGTCGTATGGGCTTCACCGGTCAGTGTGTGTGTGTGTGTGTCTGTGTCGGAGTTTTGGCCTGTGTCATATGTTCATCATCCAAACCACACTTCCCTCCGCCACACCACTTGACTGTTGACCTTCATCTTAAATTGAAGTGCGTGTAATAAATTCTCTCCCGGCTCCGACCACAGGACCAAACTGCCAGACCAACATCAACGAATGTGCCTCCAACCCCTGCCTCAACCAGGGGATGTGCATCGACGACGTTGCAGGCTACAAGTGCATCTGTGTCCTGCCTTACACGGGTATGAAAATATTATTGCAAATTGTTGATATACTTATGTGCTGACCTGGAGTTCAGGCATTTCCTCACGGGGCGGCGGGGGCAGTTTCCACAGCATGTGTACTTTAAGTTAAAGAGCAGAAGCAGGAGTTGGAGTAAATAACTGTCGAGTAAAGTTCAGCAGCAAGACTTCCTCGGGGCTCGGACTCCAAACCTCTGTGGTGCACGAGCATCCTCGATAAGAGATCTGGAAAATATTTTCATGTCATCTCATTTGAAAAAACAGATAATAATGGAAAGGATCAGGGCAAAAAATTTCTTGTATTTGTTGAGTCGTCTTTTCGGAAAAAATCTGCAGGCCCTTGCTTGTGCCGGGGTGGGAACGGGGTGCTTGACACATTTCCTGTTTGCCTGCTTCCTGTCTCACAGAAAAGCAAATGGCTTCACAATGGGCGGAAACTGGAGCCGGCTTCCTGTACGAGCCGTGTGTTGTGGAAACAGATAGGGAAACGTCTCCGCAGGCCTCTAATACTAACAGAACCTGGCTAAAATCTTCTGATAGCACTGACTGAAAGATGATTCTGTGTCCATTTGGGTTGGGTTATCTCCAAGTTCATGACTCCTACATGATATCACACAGTGGACGTTAAGTTGGTTATTTATTTCAAATCAGGCTCTGCTGTAATATGAGTGGTTTTCTGTGGCTGTGTTGCAGGAGATAACTGTGAAACCCTGATGGCCCCCTGCAGCTCCAAACCCTGCAAACATGGAGGAATGTGTCAGGAGTCTGAGGACTATCAGAGCTTCTCTTGTGTCTGTCCTGAAGGATGGCAAGGTAAACTGTACTGCTGGCGTACCTGTCAGTAAATATCAGTCCCCGAACAAACCAGTGATTAGCTTCACACCAAAACTGAACTTTAATATCCTGTTATCTCCACAAATCTTGTGATCTGAACATGCTATCGTTCCTTCTCCTGCGTTCCTCTCCTCTCAGGACAAACCTGTGAGGTGGACATCAAGGAGTGTGTGAAGAATCCCTGTCTCAATGGAGCGACCTGCCAGAACACTCTGGGCAGTTACCGCTGTGGCTGCAAACCGGGCTTCACCGGACGCAACTGTGAAACCAACATTGACGACTGCCAGCCCAGTGAGTTTTACAATTCTTTCTCCTTCATTAAACCCCTGAACCCCCCCCTCGTGCTAAGTCAAACCCTCCTCCTCCTCCTCCACAGACCCCTGCAGCAATGGAGGCTTCTGCAAGGACGAGGTGAACGGCTTCCTGTGCACCTGCCTGCCCGGCTTCAGGGGCACAAAGTGCGACGAGGACATCAACGAGTGCGAGAGCAACCCGTGCAAGAACGGAGCCAACTGCACCGACTGCGTGAACAGCTACACGTGCACCTGCCCGGCCGGCTTCAGCGGGATCCACTGTGAAAATAACACTCCGGACTGCACGGAGAGGTACGACGCTCACAGAGAACAAAGAGCAGGGGAACAGTGGTGGTTTTATTTTAATTTACACAGACTTGTGGGTCAGGTTCAGATCAACAGGTTCATTTTCCTCCTGATAAAGTAGAGCCCATTTTCTTGTCCACTACTGCCCTCTCTGGTGGAGCTTTGAATAACTCATCATCTCCTGCAGCTGTTGGTGCTAAAATGATTAAAAGTTTAAATATAAAAGAATAAAAAAAGGACTTTGTGGATGAATCAGATCTGAATTAGCTTGTTAATGTGAGTTTTACTCAGCTCTCCTCCTTCTCTCTCTTCTTACTAAAAAGCTGCAGAATAATCTACATCTCATTTTGGTCTATTTCAACCATCCATTCCTCTTTTTTTATCCTGCAGCTCCTGCTTCAACGGCGGCACCTGCATGGACGGCATCAACACCTTCACATGTTTGTGCCCGCCCGGCTTCACCGGGAGTTACTGCCAGCACGACATCAACGAGTGCGACTCCAAACCCTGTCTGAACGGAGGCACCTGCCATGACAGCTACGGCACCTACAAGTGCACCTGCCCTCACGGTTACACCGGACTCAACTGTCAGGTAGGAGTTCTTGCATCATTGTGTGTTTTTGAGATGTGGTGGAGACTTTTTACTGTAAAGCTGTTGTTTCTGTAGACTCATATTCCATTTAAGGATTCACTTTCAAACTCTTACACATCGCTTTCTCAGAAAATCACCAAATCAGAGCTTAATTTAATCGTTAAAAATGCGTGAACCAGTATCAGTGGTTTAATATCAAATGTTTCTCCTGCCCCTTTCAGAACTTGGTTCGTTGGTGTGACTCTTCGCCCTGTAAGAACAGAGGAACCTGCTGGCAGCGGGGAACCACCTACAGCTGTGAGTGTGAGACCGGCTGGACGGGTCTTTACTGTGACGTCCCCAGTGTCTCCTGCGAGGTGGCAGCCAAACAGAGAGGTACGCAGGTTATAAACATGTGTGCACAGGTGTTTTACCTGTTAAAGTCATTCAAATCCTGAAACATAACCTCTATCTCATCCTCTTTACGTAGGAGTCGATGTCGCCCATCTGTGTCGTAACTCGGGCAAGTGTCTGGACGCAGGAAACGTTCACTACTGCCACTGTCAGGTCGGATATACCGGGAGCTACTGTGAGGAGCAGGTGGATGAGTGCACCCCGAACCCCTGCCAGAACGGAGCCGTCTGCACCGACTTTTTGGGCGGATACACCTGCAAGGTAACAAACCCAAAGAAACCTGAACCCCGGTGGTTTGAATTTACATGAAAACTGAGAAATCGAATCCAGTTTGATGTGTTCATTTACCCTTTGTGACTGTTTCTTACTGGTTTACAGTGTTCTGGAAGAAATCAGTCTAATCTTGCCAATGTTTATTCTGATTTAAAGCTAATTTTAATTGCAAATTGAGTCGTAAATGCATTTCAAAGGCCTTCTTAACCTTATTTTATGAGATTTGATTAGTTAATTTGTTAAAGTACAATAGACGTGTGTGTCTTTTCTGCTGCAGCAACACTGTGCAGTCTTAATGAAGAGGCCTGTTTATAAATAGGAGGCTTTGTGTATGTTAATCTCCCCTGGAATAAAGGATCTGCTGGCCTTGGCAGGATGGAGGCCAGAAACAGCCAGGTAAACAAAAACCATCTTTGTTTCATGTCAGACATTGATTAAACTTTCCCCTCTCTTCTCCCACTTCCTTTTCTTCTTCTCCTTCTTCTCTCCATCTCTCAGTGCATGCCAGGCTACGTGGGGACCAACTGCTCCGACGAGATCAATGAGTGCTTCTCCCAGCCGTGCCAGAACGGGGGCACCTGCATTGACCTGATCAATACCTACAAATGCTCCTGTCCCCGCGGAACCCAAGGTCAGCAGACCCCACGCACACGCCTCCGCACCTCTCCGTCCTCTCCTCCTCGTCTCCACGCTTCATTAATTAGGGCTTAGCGGGGGCCCAGAGCGAGTCTGCAAGCTCCTCCTCCCTGTCTTGCCTCCATCCCTCCCTCCACTCATCAAATATGCAATCGATTTTTCTCGCAGACATGAAGGGAGTGAGTGTTGTAGGTCAGACTAAAGTGCGTTGTGAAGAGTTGGGTGGATCCCAAAAACGCCAACATGTTTTTATTTAATCAAGACTCTAAACTATGTCTGAGCCTTTGACATAAAATTCACCATTAAATTGTTCTTTTTCTTCTTTTATTTTAAAATTTATTTTAAAAACACATCTGAACTTTTCAACCCTAATACCATGTAATCCCCCTCCTCTCTTATCCTTCTTTTTTAACGCTAAAGCGTGTTGCACTACAGAAGCAGGGCACACAATATTCAGTTTCATTTTATTTTGTATTTCTGTGTTTTTATTTCTGCACAATTCAGCCTTTCCATCCTCTTCAAACTTTATTTAACAAGCAATTCAATACAGTGGATGTGTTGTAGATCAAAACACATGAATTTTAATTAAAATATACATATTTTGACAGTTTAAACAAACATTTCACAGAGAAACTGAAAAAATATAGACAAACCTTTGATTCCTTTAATTTAATTATGCAGCGTTTTTACTGCAAATTACACTTTTTTTCGGCAGGATTATTGT